TGCCAGGTCACACGGGGGCACTGGGGGGAGAGCCTGTCCACACTGACTGTCCCAGCGCTCGGGTCAGGGGTTCACGGCCAGGGTGTCTGGGAGGAATACTGAGGCCTGGTGGGAGGCCATGCCTCTTCCCGGCTGTCCTGCCTAGGACATCCCCAAATGGATGATGATCTCGTTGGAGCTCCCACCCCCTCGTCCACAGTCACCCTGACCTCTGAGCCCTGTGCGTCAGCTGGCCCGAGGACCCCTGTCCAGTGCGGGACAAGGCTGTCACGTAACCATGGCATCCGGGGAGGGCATGGGCTGTCTGCATGGAGGAGAGTGACAAGGCCACAGAAGAGGCTGGTGAGACCGTGGGCCCTTCCCTCCAGAACCAGCCAGACCTGGGACCCAGGAGCGGGAAGTCACCGTCTTCAGATGCCACCACAGGGGGATGGGCCAGTGGCCGGGGCCGGGGGCAACGGGGAGGCCCCTGGCGGCACGGACACGTGAGCCTGGGAAGGTGGGGTGGGCTGCGGGGCCAAGACTCTGTTGTGAGTTGACCGGTGTTCCCCTAATGCACAGATTCACGTTCTAACTCCTGAGACCCGAGGCCTTCCTTGAACACGGGGCCTTTACAAGTCTAACCACACACCAGAGGGTGGCCCTGAATCTAACCGTTGGTGTCCTTACATAAGGAAAAGCCGGAGAAACAGCCTCCCCCTGAGGCCCCTGCTCTGAGGATTTCCAGCTTTCCTCCCCCTTCATGCACACAGATGGAAGGGGGGAAAGGTGGACAGTGGCAGATACCGGAGTCAGGTCCTCAGCCGGAGTTGCTGCCTTGGGTTGGCTGTGGGGGGCGCCCCCTTGTGTCCATGGCCCGCAGCGGTCAAGAATTCGCCCGGAGGGTGAGGGAGCCAGGGTCAGACCACAGAGCCCACCAGCCAAGACCCAAGACGTCCCTCATTAGAGAGGGAAAGGGGACATTGATTTCTGCCCACGCTGCCTGCGCCAGGGCAAGGATTTCTACCATGATGGGCAACCTTTGAAGAAACCCCCCCGCCCCAGTTTCCCTCCCTGCACCAGAGCAACCACTTCCTAGTTTTAGAATCATTAAAAATCGTTAAAATCATTAAAAGCCTCTGGGGTGAAATAACTAAGCCCCCTCGTATCTCTGTGGTCCTCAGACCTCTGGGGGAAGTACAAAGGCCGTTTTACAGGTGTGGACAAGGTCAAGAAAGGCAGAGCGTGATTACGTGTCCATCTTCTGGCTTCAAACCCTGTGCTGTCTGTGCAGGAGGTGACGCGGGTGTCCCCCGCCCAAACATAAGCAACTGTTGCTGACAACACGGTCTAATTAACCCAGCGCCCTGAGATCAAATCCCACTACCTTGGTTTTACGCCTGCTCTTACCTCCCACAGGTATATGCTCTCTGCAATCCCCGCCAGGACATACAGGCCATTGGGCGATGTGGTCAGACAGGTGACAGGTCCAGGACACATGATCTTCTGCTGGAGCTGGTCCTAGAGAGACATAAGAAGCCTCTGAGCTTCACGTGGAACTCGGAAGCTAGGGGACAGTGGGGAGAAAAGTCCGAGAGAGCTAGAAAGAAGGGCAGGAACAGGGGTGATTTGAACTAATCAAGGGTCATCAAGAAGGCACCTGATCCAGCCCAGGCTTTGCAGGCTGGAGGGGGAGGCCTGCAGATTGCTGGATCAAAGCAGAACGGTGCTCACTCTGGGTGGGGGTAGGGGTGGGCAAGCCACAGAAGGTCCAGGAAGGAGTTGGAGAGCCCAATGGCCAGGCGGCTTGTGCCACAACCCCGCCTTCCCTAACATCCAGCCTGTGATCCTGACGGTCAGTTTTCTCATCTCTTTAAAGGGAAAACTTCCTGAGTATGAGTGGACCACACCAGGTAAAGCCAGAACACAGAGCTTGTCCCGAGAAACTTCAGCTGTCAGAGCCGGGCAGCAAGAAACTTCAGTGGCTGCACTTTGGATGTTTATAAGAAGAGACCAATGGGCCCTTGGGATGAAGGATAGTATCTCTTTGGGGGG